GATGAGAGGATGAAGGATGAGAGGATGAGAGGATGAATGATGAGAGGATGAAGGATCAGAGGATGAGAGGATGAATAATGAAGGATGAAGGATGAATGATGAGAGGATGAAGGGTCAGTCAACCGAGTCGTTTCCTCATGGACTGTATGAATGTACCAGTGGAGTCGCCCCCTGCTGGTCGTTAGAGAGAAAACAGGTGTCATGGTCCAGTCCTGCAGCTTCTGGAAGTTTCAAAATAAAACATCTAAAATAAAACTTCTACTGTCACATAGCCAAGGCTTTTGTTTTGAAAGCTGTAACCGGAAGTAGGTGTGTGGATAGCTAGCCTGACAGTAGCCTGTAGCTGTGTGGCTAACGTGTGAGCAGGTGGACCACCTCACTTCTTTTAATTCTTTTAATTCTTTTACCAACTGGACTTAGAGCGGTTCAACCCGCTTTAAGGTCATTCAACGGACCCGGCTCTGACAGCTGACACACGGACACCGAGGAGAACCGGGTACCGGTGCCGGTAACTAGCCTGCTAGCTCCCGAGCTAACAGTATGGACCTGTTCGACGACCTGCCGGAGCCCACACAGCCCGGAGGTGAGTGACCGAACCACGGCCCCGAGTTCACCGCAGAGCCGGTGAATGACCCGTTTATACAGAGGACGGTGGACCTGCCTGTTCCAGTCATCATGTTAATATATATGAATCATAGTAATATATATGAATCATATTAATCATATGAATATATAAATCATATTAATATATATTATTATTATTGTACTTTTATCATTATTGTTATCAACTCAGATCTCACCTGATCTTTTACTACAGCAGGAAAGTAACTAGATATTTTTACTCAGTTACTGGATTTCATTGCAGTTGTCAAATTACTTTGACTCTAACTTGAGTATTTTCTAATTCTGTCTCAGGTCCAGTTTCAGCATCGCCGGTCACAGCTCGACCACAGGAGACCAACGAAGAAGAGGAGGAGGAAGAAGAGAAGGAGGAGAGAAGAGTCAAACGAAAACGAGAGGATGCTGAAAGTGAAGCTGAGAAAAAAGAGGAGCGAGGGGAGATCAAGAAAGTTTGTAAAGAAGGTTTTCAGCTGTTCCACCACAATGTTTGTTTGCTTCTTTTATTTTATCACAGCTCTGAGTGGACGGAAACATGACATGAAGAGGAGACGACTTACACTGTGTGTGTGTGTGTGTGTGTGTGTGTGTGTGTGTGTGTGTGTGTGTGTGTGTGTGTGTGTGTGTGTGTCGTCGTGCAGACCTCCCTGTATTGAAAGGCTATGTGGCGGCGAGGCGGGGTGAACGGGACGAGATGCAGGATGCTCATGTTCTGCTGCCGGACATGAGCAGCTGTCTGTCTCTGCCTGGACAATTGTAAGATCAACTAACTAACTAACTATCAAGTGTTTAACAGTTTTACGTTTAAAGACAAGAAGGAACCAGAGGAAACTATATCATACAATTATTTACACAGTTCTTTTGAAGTAAAAACTCTGTAAAATGTCTGAGATGAAGAAGAGGAACACGTACACGTATGACGAAGACTTGGAAGGACGAGGAGATTCCAGAGCTTTTGGTGATAAGGGCCGACAGAGGATAAATGGATCTCATGTAAACATGCTGACCTGTCCTCTTGTCTCTTGTGTCCTACAGGTCTCATGTTTCGTACTTTGCTGTGTTCGACGGTCACGGTGGAGCTCGAGCGTCTCGATTCGCTGCAGAGCATCTCCATCACAATCTGGCCAAGAAGTTCCCGAGCGGTGAGTTAAGGGGTAGAGGAGCTTCACTCGGTCTGTGTGTCATTATGTTAGTTATCTAACTTTTTGTAGGACCAGTCGTTACCAAGTCATTACCCAAATGGTTGAAATCTGTCGTTTCTTTCAGGAGACACTGAAAATGTGGATAAACTGATAAAGAAATGTCTCCTGGAAACTTTCAGACAGACGGACGAGGACTTCCTAAAGAAAGCTTCCAGCCAGTAAGACTCAGTGACAGAGAGGAGAAAGAACAGCAGCTGCTTGATTCATATTATTATCTCTGACTTCTATCACGAGTTAATGTCCATGTATCCATTTAGAAACATACACTCCTGATATCTGAGCTGATGATGATCAATGCAGCTGCTGTGACAGTGAGTTTCACTAAAGTTAGAATAATTATGGGCTAAAAAAAGCAGCCTGCAGACATTAAGCTCTGATGTATCAGTGAAACTTCCTGTACACAGTTGTTGTACTTTCTCTACTTTTTGCCTCAGGCTTGTGATTCTATGTTGTGAACAGGAAGCCGGCGTGGAAGGACGGCTCCACAGCCACATGTGTGCTGGTGGTGGATGACATGGTGTATGTGGCCAATCTTGGAGACAGCAGGGTAAATGTTCTTAATCATCACGTGAAACCTATGAAATTTCACATGGACTCTTTATGAAAATGGACGCAGACTCACTGCAGGGTTGATTCTTGCTGTGTCCATGGGAAACATTTCAATGCCGTGGCATCTTTTCTTCCACAGACACGTCTCTGATATACTGTATATTTGACTGTTTGACTGTGACTGTACATCTGCCTCTGAAGGACACCAGGCTGTGATGGTGACGTCTGTCTGTGTTTGTCTCTCCAGGCGGTGTTGTGTCGGATGGAGGCGGCGGCAGATGGACAGAGGAGGTCGGTGACTCTGGCTCTGAGTAAAGAACACAACCCGACCATGTACGAGGAGAGGATGAGGATCCAGAGAGCAGGAGGCACCGTCAGGTTCATAAGCCACATTCACACGGACAGTCCATACCAAGTTAAAGCTATGAAACTGTAAAATAAATCAAATCTGGACTGAAAACTCTCTGTACACTCTGATGTGTTGTCTCCTTTTATTGACCAACATTCAAAATCCCAAAGAGATTCTGTTAAATGTCATAAAAATTAAAGAGAGTTAAAGGATTGATGTAAAGACAGAGTGGAAACATGGAAGTGTGTGTTTGTGTTTGTGTGTGTATGTTGCAGGGATGGCAGAGTGCTGGGTGTCCTCGAGGTGTCCCGCTCCATCGGAGACGGTCAGTACAAACGCATCGGAGTTATTTCGTCCCCTGACCTGAGGAGGTGTCAGCTCACAGCCAATGACAAGTAAGAACACAACCACAGAATCAGACTCTACGGCTCTTTGTGGTTTAAATAATAATAATCATCATCATTTATTGATTGAATGCGTACGTGTCAGTTCAGGCTGCGTGGAAATGTAACACCTTGTTTCCACATCGCTCTGTGACCATATGTGAGTGAAACCTCTGTGATCTGTGATGTGGTGCAAAACTCCTCCCCTCCAGTATTTTACAGTATTTGTATTTGGTGGATTTCGGACAGACAGTATTCACAATGTGAAGTTAGCATAAAAACGAATTAGCTATGAGGCTACTTCATTTATTTATTTGATTCCCTGATCTTAGGTCTGTAGAGACTCATGTCGGTGTGTTAAACATGAGGTAGCTGAAGCCTTATATGAAGCTGAAACTGATCCTGTGTCAGGAAACAGCTGACATTGGTCATCTCGCTGCAGGTTCATCATTCTGGCCTGTGATGGTTTGTTCAAAGTGTTTTCTGCTGACGAAGCCGTTAAATTCGTCCTCAACATCGTGCAGGTTTGTCTCCTCAGAGCTGAAGTGTGGTTGATCACAACTCAGCTGATATTTACAACATACTCACACAGAATATTAGATAAACAACTGAAAGTGCAGTGTTTTAAATAGTGATGGAGAAGAGTTGATTTAAAAGGGAATGATTCCATAATGTGTTTTTTTATTTTAATGTAATGTCTCCCTCTGCAGGAGGGGAGCAGAGAGCGGAGGGCGGGGCTGACGGAGGAGGAGGTGCGGTTTGAAGCTGCCTGTCAACAGCTGGCCAGTGAGGCGGTGAGACGAGGCTGCGCCGACAACGTCACCGTGATCCTGGTTTCTATCGGCTTCTAAGCAAAATCATCATCATCACAACACACACAAATTGATTGACACAAGCATGGTGGACCCTGACACACACACCTACACACACACACACACACACACACCCACACACACACACACACACACACACACACACACACACACACACACACACACACACACACACACACACACACACACACACACACACACACACACACAGCAGCTCATCTACAGTCTCCTTATTGTTTTGTCCATTTTCCAATAAAACCTTTTCTTTACTGGTGATGTTGAAGTGATTTAATGACCAGATTTCTTGTCCTCAGCTGCTTCCTGATGTCACTCAACAGAAAAACTTCTAAAGTTCACCTGAGAATAACAAAGTGCTTTTCAAAGAATAACACAAACTAAAGCTAAATAAATCAGTCACATTTTATGAGCATAGGTCATATCCACAAATCTGTTTGTCTCATAGATGTTAACAAGGTGCAACATCCTCTGTTCTTGACTCAACAACAGTAAAACTACAAATCAAACTTTATTAACAGTGAATGAACCTCAGAGAGTCACAAGTGAGGATCCCTCGGTTTTTAGCATGATGATGGAAAGGTGTGTCAATGTTATGTATGTATATATGTTATGTGAAGTATTTATACACAAGAAAATGTCTGATAGAGATGGAGGGAGCAATGCCAATGAAAAGAAGGAGTTGTACAAGTAAAGATAATAAAGTCAGATTGAATGAATAAACTCCTGTAACAAGTCAATATTGATGTAGTACCACCCCGCGCCGTCGGTGTCGCTGCTCTTCCACTGTTTGTATTTAATACAACCCGGATCTTTGGCGGAACCGGAACTTAGCGGTCGGTTAGCAACCACATCAACAGCAGGATGCTCGGACAGCTGTTACACTGAAACTCACACTCTGCGGTTTATTCACGCGTCTGTGCGAACCGCACCGCCATGCGTGGCACGCAGGAGCGCGTGCACACAGAGAGAGCAGACCCACCGCCGCTGCGGAGCTAACAGGCTAATAGGCTAACTGTCAGAATGAGGCTTTGTTAATCTTTATCAACACCTGGACTCAGAGACAACGACAGTCAGACAACATGGACTCACTGCTGGACTTTGAGGAGTGTGTCATAGACTCACCTGAGTTCAGGTAAACACACACACACACACACACATCCTGTTGTCATGTTCTAACTCTGCATGACAACACTTACTGATTATGATGTTTTATTTTTCAGACTGAACCTGGATCAGTTTGAGAAGGACGTTTCTCTTTTGGAGACAAAACTGGACAAGGTACAAACCCTGCTAATACAACTACAGCTGTTAATACTAGTAATACTCCTACATTTACTGTTAATGATACTGCTACTGTTCCAAATACAACTTCTACTACTACTACTGCTGCTGCTGCTAATAATACTAAAGCCCCTAATACTGCTACTGCAAATAATTTATGTACTACTAAAGCTGCAACTGCTTATACTACAAATACTACTAATACTACTATTACAACTACTGCCATAACAGAAATACCATAAATTCTGTTATTATTACAACTACTGCTTCAAGTTGGACCGATGCATTTTCCTGATTCCATTCTGACTGCAGAGGAAACCTGCTGCTCACCTGTCAACTGGCTGTTGATTGGTCAATAATCTGTGTCTCAATCAGGTGATGAAGCTGTGCGGCAGGATGGTGGAGGCGGGACAAGCCTACAGTTCAGCCAACCAGCTGTTGCTGAGCAGCCTGGCGGAGCTCTCCATTTGCCAGAGGAAGGAAAACGTCATCACTGTATGGACCTACATGATGCTAATGCTAATGCTAACGACCTACAGTCGTTAGCATTAGCAGTCTCTGCTCATTGTTTCCATGTTTTCCTGTGAAATGTTTCTCACCCACTTCCTGTTTCCTTCCTCCTCTAGAACTGTCTGAACCAGTTTAACCAGGGTCTGCAGGAAGTGGTCAGCTTCCACACTGTGAGTGCACACACACACACACACACACACACACACACACACACACACACACACACACACACACACACACACACACACCCTGTTTTCATGTTCTAACTCTGCACTTGTGTGAAACTGTTGTGTATAGGGTTTTAACATCATTTAAAACAGATTATATTTTTGATTACTTGTTTGCATCAGTTTCAAATACACAGCGAGTGAGCATAACATTTGTTTTCTAACTTTTTCTTTTGGACAGTGTCTGTTGATGCTTTATTCTTGTGTCATCAACGTTATGAATAACACAAGGAGACGCTAGAAAATAAAAATGCATAAAAATTAAATCAATTAAAATTACGAGGGTATTTTAAAAAGTAATGTATAATAATTCAGTTAAGTACTGTATCTGAATTTCTCTTCTTAATTTTAATATTTTAGTATTATTCATATGTTTCTTTGTTTCTGTAGATTCTTATTATATTGAAGCTGTGTGATTTTCTCGTTCACAGTTCTCACCAGTGAAAATCTCTTTTAGCTGCCACAGTAATCTGATTTCTGAACAGCAGCTGCAGTAACTGGTGTTGTAGAATTAATAACTGTAATAGATAATCTGTCTCTCCTCCTCAGATGTTGTTTGATCAGACCCAAAGAGCCATCAGTCAACAGCTGACCAACCTCTGCACACAGTAAGTCCAACACACACACACACACACACACACACACACACACACACACACACAAACACACACACACACACTTTTGTTTGTCTATAGTCTTTTAAGTGACTTAAATTAGAAAATTATAAAGTAATACATAAATGACAGAGTCAGAGTACATTCATTTACACATGATCTAAGTCATGTTAATAATAGATTATTGTTACAGCTGAGGTGTGTTGATAAAACTGTGATGAAATTACATCATTCTATTGTATTGTTCTATTGAACTATTGTATGTTTTTAAATGAACTATGTTATAATACATAGTGTTTTACAGTGAATTCAATCTTCTTAACTTCCTGTTGTTCATTATCGCACCCTAACAATAAACAGTACATTTATTTATAGTCACCTGATTTATAACAAGAGCACATATTATCCTGACGATGATGATGATGATGATGTGATGAAGACAGTGTTTGTGTTTCTGAGGTTCCTCCCCCAGCTGGCAGAGACCAGGCGGGAGTTTGTTCGGATCAGTGAGGATCTGGAGACAGCGGCGGTAAAAAACGCTCAGGTGTCTCGCCACAAAGCCGGCGATGCTGAGAGGGCCAGTCACCTGCTGCTCGCCACGCGTAAATGCTACCAACACTTTGCCTTGGACTACTGTCTGCAGGTACGACACGCCGATATGGTGTCATGACTGTAATGTTTTTTTATTTTCTAAAATCTAATGCTGCACACTGTTTTTATTTTCAGCTCAACACCTTCAAAACTCAGCAGAGGGCAGACATCTTGAACTCTGTGAGTTTAATTTTACAAACTGCATCAGAACTTGTCATTGCATCATTTCAACATTTGATAAAAACAACTGATAAAAGTGGAGAAATAAAATAGATCATGAATAATATCAACAGTCTTTGAATCAATCAGACAGAGTTAGTTGATGAAGCAGAGAGGGATGATGGGAGCTGTAGTCTTCTTCCTTTAGTGTTGATGATACATATATAAAGGGGACATGACGCCACCAACAGGCGACCAAATGAAACGCACCGTTACGTTGATGAAAACTACAGTGTGTGTGTGTGTGTGTGTGTGTGTGTGTGTGTGTGNTGTGTGTGTGTGTGTGTGTGTGTGTGTGTGTGTGTGTGTGTGTGTGTGTGTGTGTGTGTGTGTGTGTGTGTGTGTGTGTGTGTGTGTGTGTTGTCAGGTCTTCTCCTTCGTTCAGGCTCAGTTCACTTTCTTCCACCAAGGCTTCGACCTAATCAGAGACCTGGATCCCACCATGAAGACCATGGCAGCACAGGTCCTGACCTCTGACCCCCTCACTCTTTCATCTACTTCCCCTAAATCATGACTGTCGACACAAAGTTAAACATGAATGAATGAATCTGACGTGTGTTTGTCCTCCTGTCTGTCCCTCAGTTGTCCCAGCTGTCTACAGAGTGTTCGGTTAAAAGAAAAGACCTGGAGAACAAACACCTGCTGGTGCAGCAGAGAGTAAGAACTTCCCCTCTGTTCATCAACTGTGTCTCTATTCAGGGGCCGCGTCCTTCAGAGGCTGCATTTGAAGACTAATTCTGTCACAGCTGTGTGACGAGGCTGCCCTATTTCGAAGGCTCCTTCAAATGAGTCCTTCTATAGCTGAGCAACAAAGGGTCCAGCGGCAGGACCTTCTTCAACCTATCCCAGGGTTGATTGTGTAGCTGTGTGGGTGGTTGAGCTGCAGTTAGTGCAGCCGCTCAAAGTAGCTAATGATGCAGCGGTGAGAGCAAAATATTAAATCCTCTGAAGACCACACTGTCTCATTAAGACTATAATTATTATTCTCCTTTGTGGACTACCTGATGTACGGAGGTGTGGTCCTCGAATGCAGCCTCTGAAGGACGTGGCCCCTGAAGCCTGTCATTCACTAAAACCATCAAAAACATGTGTGTGTGTGTGTGTGTTTTCAGGATGCCTCGGGCGAGCCGATGGTCAGCCCGTGTCCTGGCAGTGATGACATCATCCAGGGTTATCTGTTCAAACGGTCCAGGAGGAAATCTAAAACCTGGAAGAGGTACAGACTGGATTTGTCTTTTATCTGTGTCTCGTCATATCATTCATATCAATATTTATAATATTAGAACTGAATCATCTTGATTTTTAACATTTAATCTTTCAGATGCTGGTTTTCCATCAGAGACAATCAACTAATCTACAGAAAGTCACACAAGGTGAGACTGAACAGTCACTGCAGCAAAACATTATTGAATCATAAATATTAATGTATGGAGACATAAACCATATATAGAGACATAAAGACACACGGTGTATCGACATGTGGAGCGGCTGGATCTTCTTTATGATGATAAATAAAAACAGAGTCAGAGTAGAAACGACCGGAGACTTAAACTTTATTGTTCCGTGTTCTCCTGCAGGACGACGCCATGGTTCTGTTCGAGGATCTCAGACTCTGTGCCGTCAAATCCCTGGAACACATCGATCGACGTTTCTGCTTCGAGCTGCTCTCCGTCCAGAAGTAAGACGCTCACGCAGAACACGGCAACCAACTACGAGCCTGATGTCTTATTCTATTCTACTTTCTTATCGTCAGTCAAACCCTGGTTTAGATTCAAGACTGAAAATTTCGATAATTCTAATTGATTCAAACCAACAACTGGTTTGTGTCTTCCCTCCTGTGTGACTCTGACTCTCAGCTCGGAGTCCGTTCCTTCTGAAACTGTAAATCTGTCACGAAGCTGTCGTGTTGTCCTCAGGTGCTGTGCTCTGCAGGCCGACTCGGAGCAGCTGAAACAGGCCTGGCTCAACACTCTGCAGGGCAGCATCGACCTCGCTTACAGAGAGAGAGCCGGCGCTCCACTCACACAGGCAGGTTCACCCTCAGCGACCAGTACATCTATATCGCCCCCTGGTGGCTGGCTGCACTGTAATACATAAATATCCACATGGTTTCTTAGCAACTGAAAATGTTGATAAAAATTATAATCCATAATTTTCCATAATGTATTAATAATTGATTATATGTCCTCTGAAGACAGGGAGTCTTGATTTGAATCTTCAGAGTTGATCAGAGTTGTGATGATGTGACATTTGTGATGTTTCCTTATTGGATCCTTTAATATGGACAGTGCTTTGAAAAGCTCTATATAAATCTGATGTGTTATTATTATTATCTATTCACATTCTGGACATGTCATGTATGTGTCACCTGTGTTCAGCCGAAAGAGCCCCCCTCTCTCCTGTGTGGTGGGAGTGACTCACCAGGCCCCCCCGCTCAGAGGCAGGCTGCCCTGGGCGTGGCCCTGAGGGGCCCGGGGAACCAGCGGTGCTGTGACTGCGGCGAGGAAGAGCCTCGCTGGGCCTCCATCAACCTGGGAGTCACCATGTGCATCGAGTGCTCCGGCATACACAGGTAACCACAACAGGAGGCGTGTCTAATGCTACATCCATGTTTTAAAACGCATCTCTGTTGCTATGGTTACTATGGAAGCTTTTGTAAATGCTTCATGCTGGTGTTTTAATTAGAAAACTCTAAAACTCGTGTTTTATTCCGGATGAACAGAAACTTTTGTCAAGGGTGACACCGACGCCCACGTTGTCGACCAGTGTACTTGGTCATGTGACCGCCGAGATTAATTCTGATGAAACACTCGTCTCTTTGTTTCAAACCTTTTTTCAGTCTCTTGTTTCTGTTGAAACTTAATTTCTCTCAATATCATCTCATATTTCGTACAAAGTGTTTTATAGAGAGTAAACATTATGGACAGTTTGATATTATTTGTGTAGAATTATTTTCAGACTATAAAGATGTCATCATGTCTGTAGGAGCCTGGGTGTTCACCTGTCTAAGGTCCGATCTCTCACTCTGGACTCATGGGAGGCTGAACAGCTGAAGGTAACACACACACACACACACACACACACACACACACACACACAATCGTTTCGAGAATATGAACAGCTCTTATTATGGCGGCCACTGAACTACTTCCGGGTCATTTCACTCTGTTATGAAGGTTCCTAAGCAAAATGCACCATTCAAACCCACCCACACAGTAACTTCTTCTTCTTCTCTTCTTCTTCATCTTCTTCTTCTTCTTCTTCAGCTCCTGTGCGTCTTAGGAAACGATGTCATGAACCGGATCTACGAGGCTCGATGTTCAGAAGAAGGGCGAGTTAAGCCCTCCGCAAACAGCCCTCGGTAAAATCACTGCACTGTTGCTGTGTTTGTAGTGAATTTCTGATCACTAGTCATTTTAATAATTGATGAACGTGTGTAAATGTGTCGTGTTGATTTCTGTTTAGAACGACAGAGAACAAAGTGAACTCTGACCTGAAGCTTCTCCTTTAACTCAGGAGTTTTTCTTCCTCAGATCCGAGAAAGAGATGTGGATCAAAGAGAAATATGTGGAGAAGAGATTTGTGCAGAACAGCCGCTCAGAGAGAGATCGTAAGTCTGAAGTCACAGAGATCTGATAATGATGTCATTACATCCTTTGTTAATGTGGTTAAAGACGCGACATTTTCTGACATGATGAAAAAAAACGTACAAACAATTTAATTTTCAGATTTTTAAAGAATCTCGTTCTGTTTCAGAGCGTCAGAAGGTCGAGGCCGGGCTGCGTCTGTATCAGGCGGCGTTGGTGGGAGACCTGGTTGCTATGGCAGCAGCGCTGGCTGAGGGGGCGGAGGTCAACGGTAGCATCGCAGAGGAGGAGGGACGTACGGGACTGATTGGAGCTGCTGTCGGGGTGAGGAGGCATCTCTGGGTTAAAAAGTTAACGAGGCTGAAAACTCATAAAGAATCACTGATCAATAATGTCAGGAGGCTCGTTAACAGGAGGTGCTCTCCCTCCACCTCCACTTAAAAACTTTATTTTGGAAGTTATGCTTTGTTTGGGAATCAAACCTGTGACTGTAAACCTGCTTAGTAACAAGCTAGT